GGGGGCAAGGGGGGTTGGGAGTGGCTAGAACTAAACACAGGGCACTGAGACCCCCCCTGTCCTGGGGGGGGGGCCTGACACCTGGACCCCACAGTGAACATGGGGGCAGCTGTCAAATCCCCCTTCCCCGCGGGCGCCCGCGCAGTCACCGTGACATCACAGCGCGTGAGGTCACACACACGCTTCTGACACTGGCATGGCAGGGGGGCCGGCTCCAGGGGGCCAGGCTGCGCCCCCTGCCCCATGTACAGCGCTTGACACCCATTAAACGCCTGACACCGCCCCAGCCACGCTGGTTGGTCCAGTCTCTAGGGCCCCGGTGGGAGGGAGCAGGGGGGGACCCCGACCCAGCTGAGATGGGGGTTGCCGCCCAGAGAACAGGGGCAACCCTGGGGTGCTGTGAGGCACCACCAGAATGTGGCCACCTCTGGGGGGGGGCTGCATTGGTGAGGGGCTGAGCCCACGTGATCCCCCCTGCTCCCACCCCACCTGCACCTTTGGGGGGACAAGGTGCTGAGCCCACATGGGGTTCTGGGGGGCAATGGCAGAGCAGATCCCCCCACTTTGGGCCCACAGCAGGGAGGGCTGTTTCAGGGAGCACATTTTTTTGTGGGGGGGGATCCAGGAATCCCTCGAGGGGGGCTCATTCCTGGGGGAGCTGTGGAGTGGGAGGGGGGCAGAGCCAGCAGGTGGGTAAACACTCCCCCATCCCCTGCAGGAGGGGGAGCTGGCTCTGAGATCTGATCTGTCTGAATGCCCCCCTCCCCCCATGGCCATAAACAGGAAAGCCCCCCACCCATGTCCCTCACTCAACCCACAGCCCCCACCCCATACCCCCAACCTGCAGCCCCCCACTAGTCAACACCCTCCAAGCTAGTGGCTGTGAGTGCAGGATGGGGCTGTAGGCACAGTCCGTGGGGCTTCGGGGGCCCCTCCTGCTGCTTCTCTCTGGCAAAAGCGGGGCCCCACCTCACAGCCTTGGCTGGGGCGCCCCGCTGCCCCCCACCTCTGGGGCCGGGCCTGAGCCTGCCAGGGGTGTCAGCAGCATGAGGAGGTGCTGCCCCCATGCCCTGGGCCCCGGGGGGCCCCGGGGAGCCCCATGGCGCTGCCCCTGGCAGCAGAGCCCATGCCCCGGAAATGGGCCTGCCCCACACAAGCGCGAGCCCTACACAGGACCAGGCTCCTACAGATAGGGGCGGGGGCTGCCCCCCCAGGAGCGCAGGAGGTGCTGTCACCCCCTAGAGGCTGGGAGTGAGGTGGGGCTCCAAGCTCAGTCAGTTTTTCCCCATTTGATAAACCAAAATCTTTATTATTAAACAAAATAATTCCCCTGCTCCCTGCCCGGGGCCCGGCAGCATGCATATACAGGGGCCTGCGGGCCCGGGGGGGTGAGGTCCCTGGGGGGCGGGCCCAGGGGGGCCCCGCATTGCATTCCCTGGTCCAGAAAGGGGGCCTGATTCCCATGGGGAAAGGTGAAGCCTGGGAGAGAAGCCGCCTTTGGGCTGGGCGGCTGGGCCAGGCTAGAGGGTTGGGGGGCGGCCATGTTGCAATCTCTGGGGCCAGAGATGGGGGGTGGGAAGGGAAGGGCCCTGACAGCGTGGGGCTGCTAAAAGTCCCCCGGGAGCAAGGATGGGATGTCTGGGAACACCCACATACACACATCCCTGCCACAAAGCAGGGGGAAGTGGGGGCCGCAGCTGGGGGTCAGGGCGACGGGGTCGGGGTCTGGCTGGGTCCAACCCAGCTCCAAGGCGGGGGCAGAGGCACCCTTCCCATCTGTCCAGAGCCCCATTTGCCCCCTCCCCAGCACCCCACTGCCCAGCCCCATCGCAGCTCCATGCACTGACGGGTCCTGGGTGGGGGAGGGGCAGACCCCCGTGCCCCCCTCAGCATGAGGGTCCTTGGCCAAAAGGAAGATGCTCAAGGTCACGTCCATGGTCCCTGCCTGGCTGCCCCTCCTCCCAGGGGGGGCAGCGTGGGGTGTGGGGCTCCAGGTCTCCCCGGCTTCACTCCAGTCTCCAAGGGGGGCCCCAGCCGTTCCTCGCGGGTCACTGCCTGGGTTGCGAGGGGGCAACAGCCTCCAGAGTCCACAGTGAGGGGGTGGGTCACAGCTCGTCTTCGTCGAGTTTGGCAAGCCGGGCGCTGGGGGTGTCGGAGCCCGGCTCGGGGAGCGGGCAGCCTGCCCCCCTCAGGACCTGCCAGGGACAAACGCAGCCAGAGTCGGCACCCCACCCCCAGCCAGACTCCTCTGCCTGCCCCAAAGCTGGGGAGCGCTGGCCCCTGCTCCCCAGAACCTGCGGTTCCCCCCCCCAGCACCACCAGGCCTCAGCCCCGAACTCACAAGAGCCGACCACAAACCCCCAGCGGACGGGAACCATTGCAGATACGGGGCTCGGGGGGCAGCGGGTTGGGATTGGGGGGCATCAGCTGAGCTCAGGGGGAGCCCAGGGCTGGGCTAGCAGGGGCTGCGGGTCGGGATTGGGGGGCACTGGCTGAGCTGCGGGGGAGCCTAGGGCTGGGTTGGCAAGGGGTTGTGGTTCAGGATTGAGGGGAACCGGCAGGGCCCAGCGGGACCCTATTGCAAAGCAGGAGCAGAAGAGACGTTCCCCGGCGAGCCCCCATTGCCCCAGCCCCCCCACACCTGCTCCCCACCCCCCAGTTCCAGCCCTGGAAGCTGCATGGCCCTTATTGATCTGTTCCCATCACTCACCCCAGGGGGGGGCTCGCCTGGCTGGGGGCCCCCGGGGAAGTCGAGGCAAACATGGGCCGGGGAGGCCGTCCTGGGCGCGGGGGAGCTCTGGCTGCGGGCGGGCTGCAAGGGAAGCGCGAGGAGAAGTGGACCCAGGAGTCCTGGCTCAGGGAAGGGGCTTCCCCAAGGCTGGGCTCCCCAGACCCCGACCTCAGTCCCTGCCCCCCACCCCCTACCTCAACTGGGCCCCCCAGACTCCAACTTCAATCCCTGCCCCCC